ATCCTCCTGCCTCAGCCTTTTGAGTAGGTAGGACTACAGGTATGAGCCATTCTCAACTTTCTTTTTCACCTTTTTCAATTTTTTTTAAGTGGACACGATTTTTAAAAATTGATGTTTATTTTCCTTCAACCTTATTTTCATCTTGTTTAAGAGCTTGTGGGAGAACAGCTAAAGACCACTCAGTGGTTGTTCCTACCCAATCAGCGGCCTGAGCAGTGAGAGCTGCAGACTAGGGTTCCGTGGCAGGCTGAGCGCTCCAGTCTTCCGTGGGAACCTGCTCTCTAGGCACAGAGGGTATCCACCGCCTTCTGCCCAGTCTGCAACCTTGAATAGCAGCTAACTCAGGAGCTGGAGCTGTCCATTCAGCCTGAAATTCCTCCTTGGTCACAGCTTTCTCAGAGGCAGCCTGCTCTTCCTTTTCAGTCTCTTGAGGATCTCTGTGGAAGCAGAGATCAGGCATGATCATAGGAGATGGTGCCACACATGTGGAGAACTTCCTGGGCTAGCATCTACCATGTCACACCCAATGAGGGAGCTCCTTTGTTGTTGTATGGGACGGTGATGACCACATAATGCAGGGGAGAGTCTGAGTTACAAAGAACAGTGGTAGGTAGGTTAGCATAAGACGCCTCAGTGAGAGACTGGTGGTCAGCCCTGGGATCAGTAACCACCAGGAGATGCAACTCCGGGAAGGCTGCCTGGATCTAGTTAGTGAAGATTCTGAGTGAAGTGGTGAGTGATAGGAATGGCTACAGTGGCAGTAGCAAACTTCACCATAGCTTGATAGGCCAATATTCCCAGAGGATAAGACACTGACATCAGCAGGGTTTTCAAGGGCAACAATGGCACAAGTTGCCAACAGCAGCTTTCCCAGGTCCCTTTCAGATTTATGATAGAGACACCATCACTTTTCCTTTTTTTTTTTTTTTTTGAGACAGAGCCTCAAGCTTTCCCCCTAGGTAGAGTGCTATGGCATCACAGCTCATAGCAACCTCCAACTCCTCGGCTCAAGTGAGTCTCCTGCCTCGGTCTCCCGAGTAGCTGGGACTACAGGTGCCTGCTACAACGCCTGGCTATTTTTTGGTTGCAGCCCTCATTG